TTCAATTGCACCCATTTCTTTGTATATAGTTTATATGAGACAGAGAGAAGTGCAGTCTGTAGCCTTAAACTGTTTGTGGCGCTAATCTGTGCCAGGCGGTCTTTGTAGACGCTTGTCAGAAGACTTCTGTCGAAGTAGTCTTGACTTGGCAATGACTTTCCGCCTCTGTGTCTGCATGTTTTCAGATCCTCGGCGATGCAGAGACGGTTCGCGGTCTTCCTTGGAGGATTCTGCTCGTTTTTCCTCGGCCGGAACTACAGAACGAAATGGGCATGTTTCTGCAGTGTAACGCGGAGGAGACTGTCCCCTCGAACAGCATTTGGGCTTGTCCTGCACTGGCCTGCCTAGAACTCGTGTCTCAGAACAAGCGGACAAATAACAAGCTACTCAAATTCCGTCACCTCTTTTCTTACCGGGAAAGCCGTTGGGGCTGCCTTAATTTCATTGACTACGGCGATCTATTTAATCCGGAAAATGGCTACGTTGTGGATAACACCATTCACGCCCGCATTACTACAAATTGTGGTCACATCGTTGTCCAGACTGCAGTCCCACGTCCTATTAAGTCGGAATCGCACGGCCTCCCTGGATTTGTTGGCTTGATAAATCAGGGTGGAACCTGCCACTTAAACTCCGTGCTTCAGGTCCTCTATTACACAAATTGCCTGCGTTCGGCCGTATTTCGAATTCCCACTGAGAGCGATAACAGCATGACTAGTGTCCCGTTGGCATTGCAGCGCACCTTCTACCAACTGCAAACCTCTAAGGAGGCCGCGTGTACTGCAAACTTCCCTCAGATCTCTGGCATGCAGCACGATGCCCAGGAGGCGTGTAGAATGTTGTTAGACAAAATTGACGAGAAGATGAAGGATACAGACCTGAAGGACACAATATCGAAACTTTTTGGCGGTAAAATGTCCCACTACATAAAATGTACACAAGTCGAGTATGAATCCAGGCGGGAGGAAAGTTTCATTGACATTGTGTTAAAGGTCCGCGGCAACAAGGATATTTATGCTGCCTTTAGAGATTACCTAGAGGTGGAGATTTTGACTGGAGATAACAAGTATAACGCCGATACACATGGTCTTCAGGAAGCTGAGAAAGGCGTCCAGTTTATCAATTTTCCCCCTGTTCTCCACCTTAACTTAATGCGTTCTGAGTATGACTTTCAGGCGGACGGCATCGTGAAGATAAACGACCGTTTTGAATTCCCCTATGAGCTCAACCTGAAGGAGTATGTCCCAGATCCAGCGAAGGCCCAGTACACTGATTATTTCCTGCACTCCGTTGTCGTGCATTTCGGTAAATTACGTAGTGGCCACTACAGTGCTTACGTGAACCCACTTGGAGACAATGAATGGTACTGTTTCAATGACTCCTCAGTGTCTAAGTGTTCATCAAAAGAGGCGATTGAAATGGTGAGTTGTAAACCGATTATTCATCGTTCCTGTCTTTGTATGACTAGTTAATAAGATCATTAGTTCGTTTATATTGTAGATAAGATAAGAGTAAATTGTATCTTTTAAAGTAGTTGTGGTCTTCGTTTGTGATGCTCGGGTTGTCCAGACGCTGGTAATCAATTTAATCGATTGACTGTGGCATTCCATATCTTGTTACCCAAGGTGGTCATCTCACTTTGATTCTACCAGGTACTGCGTTGTCTCTACGTAATTCCGACAGCGCGGTGGCCACACTCGCTGTAACCGTTTTAACTGACTTCTGGTCCGCAGAAGAACAGAGTTAACCCATCAGTTTGAAATCTGGCTGGTCGCAACTTTTCGTTCATTGTGAGAGATTAAACAAGCCGAGATAGACGGCCCAGATGTGAGATGCCTCGAGTACCGTTTCGTGCGTCGTAG